TAGTGGAAGATCACGATTTCATTGGCACGAGCCAAACGACTCGTGACATATGTTCCCGGACAGCTGATGCACTTACTATAATCAGTCTTTCTCTCTCTTTCCTTCTCTCTGTCTCCGAGACGGGCACGCGATCGCACGACCCCGCACGCGTGTGTGCATTACCACGTTACCGGAGAGAGAACCTGGGAAAGTAAAAACCTCGCGACTGTGAAGAGTGTGAGAAAATTCATACCGCCGCATCTGTGTCGGCTCTCGACATTGCTGCAACGACGAGAACTTTGTTGGGGAACGCCATTGCGTCACGTGCGCTAATCATCGATTCCGCTGCTGTCGCGCGACTTTACTACGAAACGCTATTATCGGTCGCGATTAACATATGTAAGAACGAAACTCGCTTTAACGTCAACTAGTGCTTCATAAACATTTTTCAATGCGATTTGCTTCGCGAAAGTCAAAGTTCGAAATAATCATGGGACATTTTTAAAAACAGTGTGTCACTAGATTCTAAGATACTAAAAATACTCTTCTTTTCCTTGGAAAAGATTGTACAGTTAAAAAAATAACTTGCAATAAATTAATTGTTTCTGCGGATAAAAATAGATTGTTTGAATTATAAAATACATAATATTAAGCAGTATTCTGTTTTCATTTCGATGTTATTGTGTATAAAATTTCTCTTATTCTCTGAGATGCTCGTCTGATCTATTTTCACCAATTTCAAATCGATTGTAACGTTTTCTTCCTTCCGTTTATCGCGTTGTAACTAGCATGCCACGTGCTGCAGTGCGAGCACGTGCGAAGAGCGCCGAGCGTGTGATACAAAATCAATTCTATATTGTTCGTCGACACATTCGAAACATGCATTCATGTATGCGCTCGATGCTCACTAATCGATTGGGTGAATACCATTATATTAAGATTGTTCTTTAAATTCTCACTTTAATTCTCTGTCATATAATTATAGCAATAACGTAAAAATCTGTGCAAATTTTAATCGGACACATCTGATAGGCTAAAAATGACAGATAATTTGACGAAATTAAATATTATCGCGGAAACTCAAATGAATATCAAATATAATATGTCATAAATTTTCGAAAATTTAGGATGAATCAAAATATTGAAGTATGTATACATATATGTGTGTATGTAATTGTGATATAACAATGATATAAAAAGCATATTAAGTAAATAAATTGTTGTTTAATTAAAATTAATTAATTTCAATTTATTGTAATTAATAAGAATTAATTTTAATTTAATTGTAATTAATTAATGCAGTGCTGTCAAAACTAGATAATTTTTAAGACTATATCATATATACACATCAGATCATCTTTATATCAGATAATCCCCGATATCCCGTTACTTTTCCGAAAATCTTAAAACGTTTTTAAATATAATACGATTGTAAATTCTATAACAAAATAATGTCTTAGTAAATTTTATAACAAAATGGTTTCCTATGTTTAATACGCGCATAACTGTATTATAGAGTTCTTCATTTTTTGAATTTGTCAATTCAAAAAATTTTGTCAAAAGATATAAAAAATCAAAATTTCGTGATGGAATCTGGAAGCTATTAAATTTCGCCGTTTTCAATCTCGATAAGTGATGTAATAGCAGTTGTACGTGTAGAAAGTACATTTCGGTAAACGTGCGAGCATTATAGCAACGAGATATTAAGCGAAACTTTCGATTACAACATGCTATCTGTTTCGACGTAACTTTGTATAACGATGCGTTTGCACCATGTTTTCTATAACGATATACAATGTTTAGATATTCGAATACAAACATATGCAGAAATGTATTTAAATGTTTAAATAGTTTTTGATATCTTTAGAATTTTATTTTGTTTTTCTTTTATTTTAGTTAATAAATTATTTTAACAAATATGTATATAAATATTTGTATGTGTATTATGTAAATTTATATCTTTTAATATCACAATATATATAATTATTTAAAATAAAGTTTTTAAGCTTCAAATATTGCAATAATTACATTAATATTTTTTTTTTTAAAGCAGTAACATTTTACAGCGAATCTAATTTCTTCGCAAGACGATGCAAGTAAAGATTACAAAAAGAAAATCCAAGGAAAGAGATTGGAAATTCTCATGTGTAATCTGCCATTTCTCAGAAATCATATTTGGTCCGCTTTCACTGAACACGCTTGGCTTTCGTGGTTACATCTACATCATATAACGTCTCAGACAGTCAAGTCCCCGCAACATCACGCTAATTAGGTCCCACGAGATCGCGCGGGGACGGAAAGATTCGATCAATGTTGCAAGAGCGAGACAGAAAATGAATTACGAGCAGCATTATCTTGCAATCGCATCAGATGCTATCGAAGTACACTTAACGACACATGCAATTGGCTGATACACGAAGAAGGGTATCTCGGGAGAAAATAAAATAGGAAAAAGAAAATGTGTAGAAGATTGAGAGAAAGAGAGGGAGAGAGAGAGAGAGACGGGGCAGGAAGTCTGGTAAAAGAGTCGGTAGCAAAAAGAGATGTAAGTAACGAAGAAAAAGAGCAGAATAACGCAGTGTGGACGAGTAAGTAGAAGAGAAGGTGCCGTAGGGATCGCAGGAGAACGAGAAGGAGACGGAGGATCAAAACGAGCGTGCGTAATTATTCGGTGCGAACGACGTTTAAGTATCCGGCTCGGATCGCAAAATAAGAGAAGTAGTACAGGAGGACAGAGGACGTAGAGGAAAAAGCAAGCGGATGAAGAGCGGAAAAAAGAGAAAGAGTCCGACTAGCGAGGGGAAGAGACACACGAAATATAGTAAGGGCAGAAGATGAGGTGAAAGAGGAGGAGAAGGAACGGCTGTGTAGGATATAATTCAGCCAATGCCCTCGCCGAAATTAGTATCTTAAAGTGCATGGGAGAAACGTGCACGAGCGCGTCCGAGATACTCGTTTCGCGCGATGACTATCCAAAGCCGGGAGGACGATTTTACGAGCAAAATTAAAATCGCGTCCAACGAAGATCTCACTTTCGGCCAATTTTTGCCGGCTGACGATAGGTTACGCGAACAAGGCGTAATGAAAGCATCTCGCACTTCCTGCGACGATCATGTTTTAAATATCCGCCAAAAGATTTTTTACTCCTTAGTTCCTTGTAATTATCAACAAAGTACCCGATAATTATACCTAATCGAGGAACTGCTGAAACATCCAGAAAATCCCGAACAGTAATAATAATATAGGCGAAAACGCGAAGAAAGTGATTTGTAATTTTTCATATGTTTATTCTTGTAATTAAAATCGTATATATAAACTATCTTTTGCTATTAAAATTACTTTGTAAGCATAATATTCCCGACGTCAATTACATATTTAATAAAGTAAGATACCGCCCAAAAAAATTTTAGAGTTACAATTTTTATTTATTTATTCCATTCTTGTTCTAATTGTCTTAGTATTAATTAATATCCTAATTAAATTCAATCAAAATTAATATCAAAATAATATATCTTTCTCTCAATCTCGCTTCTAATAATTGAATAAGTTTATAGTGCATGCAATATTAAATCGTCATATTAACGGAAAATAAATAGGTCCTCCTCTCCTTTATGTGAATCAGTTTTAAACAATTACATTCTAGAATAATTATACGAGCGCATAAAAGTAATGGTTTCCCACACTGAGAAAAAAAAGTTGTTAACTTGACTAAATGCGTTCAACTAATTATCATTTTTTTTAATTAAATATTTAAGTACTTAAGTCAAATACGTCATGTTAGATTTAATATGTCGTATTTAATTTAAATACTTAAATATTTCAATTAAAGAAATAATAATTAGTTGAACGCATTTAGTCAAGTTAACAACTTTTTTTTTCTCAGTGCAGCAACCATGTAATAGTTAGTAGAATAGAGTGTGCGAGTTTATTTTATAAGCAAGTTATCAAGCAAATCATTATATTAAAATTTATTTTCTAAGCCCATCCACTCGCTGTCGTAACGCGATATTCGCAGAAACGCGCCTACTACTCGGAAAGGAAGACAAAAGATCGCCGCCGGAGCAAAATTAATTAATCGCTCTGTTGCGCGACCGTCTTAACGATCAATTTGTTATACGGCCCTTTACAGCGACGAGCTTTATCGAGCTTCATCCGCGACTTCCTTTTCCGCGTTAATTCGCGTAAAATGATCGATCAATCGCGCCACCGATAGTCGCGACATATCCCGGCGTCCAGGAATACGTATATATAATACATGGGCACACGGCACACGATTCAACACCGTGTAGCCGGTGAGATTGCAATCACGATCCAGAGTTGCGCCGGACTTGTGCCCAGCACGCTTCTCGTTCGGCGAAGCGGGAGAACCAGAAAGCGAGGAGCGAAACAGAGAGAAAGAGAGAAAAGAAACGACGAGGGAAGGGAAAGGAAGAAGAAAAAGGCGTAGATTCTCGATAAGAAGATCCAGCACGAGCGTGGAAGCTGCGACTATGATAGAAGAAGCTGTACCTTACAGATGGACGAGGACAGCTCATCTATTTTGCCCCGAGACAAGGAGAGAAGAAACGAAGAAGTTAGTCGAGATCTAGTCCTTCCGTATGAGCGCTCGTGGAAATAAGCGCCAATGAACGACAGAGAGAAACAGAGAGGATAGAATAGCGGAGGGAACGAGAGAGAAGTAAAGGATAGAGAGAGAAAGAGAGAGAGAGAGAAAGAGAGTGATTACGAGCCATGCATACCATGGCACGACCACTCGTCGACGATTAGCCGAGGAGGTAGAGAGCATCGACTCCGCGCCACGGCTAGGTGCAACAAGGACGCAGGAACGGTGACGATGGCTTGGTGTGGGCGCGTGTCTGGCAGCTGCCGCTTACAGGTGGTGTGCTTGCTTGGGAACCAACCTCTACGGACAGTTCCCACGGAAGGCTTGCTCCCCACCATGCGGCCCACATCGTCCCCTCGCCCCGTCCACACGGGGCCCCATGCCTATATAAGTCGCAGCCTCGCCCGACCGCGACTACAATCACGCTCTGTTCGTGTTCACTCGAAGGTCGAGCTGAAGGCTTACGTGTTGTCCGCACGTTTCCTTCCGCCAACCGTAAGTGACTCGCAATAGCAGGCGACGAACAAAGTTTGACAAACCGGTGTGATAACACGACGAGGTCGCGTTCGCGATAAATCAGTATCAGTTATCGAGTGAAGTTTTGATTGTGTCGCAAGAGCCCGCTCCAAAAAGGATTAATCATGCAGGTGCACGAGCAGATTATCATGACCGATGGGCAGGAGCAGCCGATCTCTAGGACATATCAGTATCGAAAGGTAAGTGTCATCTTGACATTCTAACGTTATCGATCTAATCGCGCTGTGTAAATTTCGAATCAGTTAATAATTTCTTTATTTCGTTTAACAAATAAATCGACGATTAACTTTTGTAAATCTCTTTCCGCGTGTAAAACGATATCTTTATTTCGAAAATTTCATTACCCGTAACCCGTCAACTATAGCGATTCGTTCATTTCGATTCTCAGGTGATGAAACCGATGCTCGAGCGCAAACGTCGAGCGCGCATCAACCGTTGCTTGGATGAACTAAAGGATCTGATGGTGACCGCGCTGGCTGGTGATGGCGAGAACGTGGCGAAGCTGGAGAAGGCGGATATCCTGGAGCTGACGGTGCGTCATCTGCACAAGCTCCAACGTCAGCAGCGTCTCTCAGCAAATCCGGTGATTGACGCCGACCGCTTTCGCGCCGGCTACACGCATTGCGCGAACGAGGTCAGCCGCTGCCTGGCCGCTACCCCCGGCGTCGACGTCGCCCTCGGCACCAAACTGATGACGCATCTCGGCCACAAGCTCAACTCCATGGACAAGACCGGCCCTTTGACCATCCACGTGACCGCGCCACAATCATCGCCGTCGCCCTCCAGCGAACTCAGTTCCGACGAGTACTCGATGCCGCTGACGCCAGCATCCAGCCAACCATCCCCGGTACGAACCGATATCGACACCGTCTCCCAGAGCCACCAGGGTCTCCTGCAGGTGGCCAAACCGAACGAGCCCATCTGGCGACCGTGGTAAATTTCTATCCGGCCAATCGGCCGAGTATCGAAATCGGCGAAAGGATGTTTCCTCCGAATCCGAAGGATCACGGAGGACCGACGCCGATCTTGCAATTTCGTTTGTGATTTGAACGGAATGAACGCCGCGAGAGACTGGGAACATCGCGAGGGAAGAGGAGGAGGAAGAAGTCTACCCACGTGCGACAGACGAAGACAGGCGCTTAGACTCGAGGATTTCCATTTGCTCAAAAGATACTCAGCGGGCGTCATGTTCTCCGTCATTCTGACATCGTCGCCGCAAACATATTCACAATAACATTCCGCAAGAGTCAGGAAGCATTGGGATCTTGATACGTAGTCTTCTTTCGGGGCCGAGCGCGGCTGAAGCTTTAATTTACTCGACAGTTAGATATTTTCTATTGTTTATTTCATACTTTTATCGAGGATGTTTTTCTTTTTTTATTTTCTCGCCGATATAACGTTGTTGTATGGAGTCTCTCCACCGGTCAAGAAATCGGATATAAGGGACAACGACGACGAATGATCTCTCGAGGCGATGATTTCGGTGATTCCGAAAGGCACGCGTCCGGATTCAATCAAGCGCGGTGCGGATTATTATATGTAAAAATGACCGAGCGGAGAATCTTGTGATAGAGAAACGTGTACCTGTGATATTTACTGTAGTAGGCGTAGAGAATGATACTAGATTTTTAATAAACATGTTTCGTATCAGCATAATGCGTATCTGCATGATTTCGTACTGCCCACCCAATGATATAAATTGAGATCAATTTGAAACTCTGCATAAAAAAGAATATGTTTCATTTCTCTCAAATAATATACTCTCGTGCGTATATAGTTTTTATTAATATTCACGCAATGTATGTAAAAAGATTATACTATTTATGTTAATCCATATCATATTAACATAAATTATTTAAATGTGCGAAATATGTCAGCTTCTTAAAGATATTTAAACGGATAAAATTTATAAATATTTCATACGAGAGTTGTTAACTTTCAAGTCAAGAACCTATAGTTTCTATCAAGAATGATCAAAATTTTTACGATTAATGCAGTCGAGGAAATAAATTTTTGAATAAGCGTAGAAGAAACGGTATTTATATTCCATAGTTTTTCGAGAAAATTCATACGCACGCGCTTCAAGTGTGTGTGTGTGTGTGTGCGGTTGTTTCATAGAATCAATGCGATAAAAAAATTGAAGAAAAAAATTAAGCAAATATTCAGAAATACACTCACCCTAATGCTTTCGGGAATCCGTGCAGCTCATTCCTTTCCTGCCGACTGCTCGTACCTAAACACACATATCATGTGCATTAATCGTTTCTGTAGAAAATATTAATTGGAAATTATAGTGTATTAGCTTATCTACTGTGATATTCCGCGCTAATAATTGCGTGCCGCGTAAAAATTTCGCGACATTTCAATCTTTGCCTTCAAATGCATACTTATCACGATGAAATTACGCGGATTTCTTAATAAAAGAAAATGTGGTTTTTTTTTTCTTTAATTTTTTGCGACATGTTACAAATGCGAAAATGCGCTGAATGCGAAGGTTCTACCGTCCCACACGCTCCACTTTCATATGCTTTAGATACATTGCATTTAGTAATTCTTAATTCCACGTTTATCTCGCTTCAGCGCGCCCGCGCGCTGCATTCCGTTACGACAATAAATGTCGCGGTAAAAATAGTTTCCCGGCGCGAAAGGGTTCGATCGGACAGAATGTCATGCATTGTTTCACGGCACGCTTCATTAGCTACGACTCACAAAATTTACGTATAAATGTTTCGATGCCGACATACAAAATTTGAAAACAAGGCGTTTGCTCGAAATGCTATGACCGTGAAAATATCAAGTTACAAATTTTGCCGCGGACATCGAAAGTTTAATCGGACAGCGTCGTGTTACGTCAATTAATTCGCAGGTGATGATTCTACATTTTTGTACAAATTAGGCGACACATTCATAAAAGTAATCGTGTCGAAAACGATACCCAATATATTTTTATTGTATTTACATTGAATTATCGTAAAAGTAGCCGAATAATATTTAATGATTTGAAAACACATGGAGAGAGATGTCTCAATGCGAAAAATTGTACAAACCATAAAATAATTTGGGAATATATTCCTCATTATATAAATTATACGTTAAGTTTTATATATTATTTAAAATTATATTGTGAAATAAATACTGTTTAAAAAAATGTGTATCTGCATATAAATTTCCGAATTTTCCGAATTCCGATTTTTCTGAAACATACATTTAATATATGTATTTCAGAGCCTACAAATCCGTTCAAAAATTTAGTCATCCTTGTCTCATTTTTTATTTAAAAGAAATGGGATGGAACAATTTTTTCGAGAAATTTTAGTTTCTATGCCTCGAGTAATACATACAATTTATAAATATGTGTAATATATGCGTGGAAAAAGGCTCTACAACTCGAATCCCAGATCGTAATCGCGAGTCGGAATCTGAAATGTGATCGTGAAATTTGAAACTTCCGTGTGATATGGCAGTCGATTGCAATCCAGGTCGTATCAAAACGGAAGTTTTGAAATATCTCGTGATTCAATCTGATATTTTACAACACGCGATTACACTCTCGTTCGTCTGATTGCAATAACTATTTACGAACTCCAGGACGGCACAGAAATGTAAAGGTTAAACGCTCTTAACCTCCTCTATCGGATTCCCTTTAATGCGATTCTCGAGTGCACGATTCGAACGTATAAATATTTGACACGATTTAACTATTGATATGTCTCGATTTCTCACACGATCAGTAATAAAGGCCATTGCACGTGAAAAAGTTTTAATCGTAATCGTAAGGCCGTAAGCAAATCAACCAATCACAATCAAGCATTCTAACAACGTAATAAGAATGTTTAACTGTGATTGGTTAATTTGCTTACAGCCTTACGGTTACGTCTAAAATTTTTTCACGTGCGATGGCCTTAAACGACCTTCGACGTACAAAAATGCGCGATTGCGCGCGCGTCGAAATTTGCGCGCGTAACCTCGAAAACGCGCCACACGAGGCAAAACAAACCGACCGAGTCGCCCGAAACGAAAATTATCGCAATACCCCGTAAAAGTTATGGCATTAATGTTGCTAAAATACACTCGAGATCGTCGTAATGATAATCCTAGTCGCCACGATCGCCCCATATACGTACGTTACGCGACCAACACTTCGTTATTTCATCGAGACGGATCGTCTCGTGGTGAGATTAAGGTTAGCATCACGGGGATCGCGAATCGACGTCCGATATTCCATCCTCGCCATTGTTTCGCGAAATCGCGCGGCCGAATTCGCCCTAAAACGTCTCGCGTAAAGCACAACAGCCGACGACGACCGATTTATCGACCATCGCGAGAGGCAGTCAAGGTTAAGTGCCGATCCCGAAGGCCTGTTATGGTAGATCGTCTCGGCGACTCACGTGCTGGCGTCGCGTAAACAGGCGTCTCGTCCGTCTCCGTAATTTGCCAATCTCGACGTACACCAGGTGATCACCGGGGACGCCAGTCACATCGGACGCTCCGGAAAGAGCGGAAACACTCAGCACTCCGATATTATACTCACTTTTCCGATAAGCAAACCGCCACTCAGCTATAGCACGTGCTGTCACTACAGGTGCACGGCCACGCTTCGCCGTCATCTTGCGTCGCGTCGACGAAACTATGCGCGCGCCGTTGTCGATAATGTCGGTAACTGCAGAAATGTCTGTCGAGAAGAAAAATAGGTCTTCGTATGGTAATCGACGAATGATATAATGTAATATACAGGGTGTTTCCCCTGAAATACTTCAACAAAGTTTTTGTGAAACAACCCTGTATATGTATGTTTAATATATAATGTAAATAAAGACCAAATTTCAGGGATTCGTTTAAACTCAAATATTTTATGTATTTTAAACAGAAACTTGAAAAATAAATCAGCTCGAAAAAATTATGATGCTTGAAAAATCTGCTTGAAAATACGCATCAAATTTGCTGGATGGAGTTATCGTACATTTCCGCGCAATATATGATATTTGCAACAATCACCCGTTATTTTTCTCAGCACTTTCGATATTATATACGTTTATTTGCAGAGATGATATTTATTCTCGATAATTTTTGTTTAATATTTACGTTAATAATACTTGGAGCTACAATCACATTCAGAGGTCACTTGATGGAATTATCACGTTCACGATATATGCTTTACGCATGATACATAAATGTGATTAATATTTATTTTATCTTTAACATATCGAATTACGACTATATTAGCCACCGTAGCATATATTAATCACGACGATTAATCGATTACGTTTCTCACATATTACTCACGATACTTGATTATATTTATACCACAAGCATTCCGATAATGATCCCAGCATGATTGCACTATAAACGAGCGCAGAGACAACTGAATACCTCGAGTTCCGATTCCATTATAAGGGGGGACCGATCCGATTCCAAAGTTCCGCGTTTTTATTACGCGAATCAAATATGGCTGACATAATTTGAATAATTTGAGCGCTAATTTCTATTAAATATCTACGTATATGTCTATATCAAATATCAAACGCGGATATCAGATAGCAATTTTTATCATTGGATATTAACAAATGCGTTACAATATTTATTAGAATTATAATTGATTTCTCACTCTTACTAGTATTATTACGAGAGTAACGCGTTTGTATATGCAAGAATCGCGACAAATTCAGACTGATCCTCGCGTGACAATCGAGATGATATTGGAGAACTATTTTGAAAAATGTCATCATCTATAAATCTATACGTCTTGAGAGAGGAAGGAGATTCTCGGAAGCGAGCCCGGCCGCGCTTTGTTTTTGTAAACAAAGCACGGCCAAGCTCATAGTTATGATAGAATGGCTTGGCGTAATATAAATTCGGAATCTCGAATCGGACCATAGTCTTAATAAAAATTGAAATGTTTACAAGTCTTTAGTAAATGCTTAATACAGATCCACTTTCCGATTTTTCTGAAACATACATTTAATGTATTTCGAGCTTAGAAAATTGCTCAAAAATTTTGTCACTCTTGTCTCATTTTTTTTTTTTTAAAGGAACGAAATAAAAGCAACAATTTTTTCAAGAAATTTTAATTTCTCTACCTTGTGAAATACATAAAATTTATGAATTTAAAAAACAACGGAGATTTCTCTAAAGGGAATATGAGAGAAAATTTAAATCTAATAATTTTAATAAATTTAATATACAGTGTTCACACATTTGATAAGTTTCCATCCTGTTTATTTTGTGACCGACTAATTTTTGCAAAAAATGTCAAAAGAGGTCAATTTTGTTTTCGAGGGGGACGTATAAGTACGATAAATTCCGTACAATAGATTAAATAAGTACGATGAAGCTTCCCTTCATCGGGATAGCTACTCTTTCAAAAGTCTTAAATGGTAATAGGGGTCAAGTGGCACATCATTTCAAAGGTCTTTTGATTCTATTCACAACCGCGTGTTTTATTTTATTTTATTTTATTTGAGAGTGGATATTTTTCAAGATATCGTACTTGAAAATTTTAAGTATCAAAACAAATTTTTAGATACAAAGATTTAAATACAAAGAATTTAGAGTACAATTTATTAATTTATTTACTTTACAGTATCATTGTCAGTGTTTTATTGTAACAAATGTTCCAAATGTTTTCTGTTGTTTGCTATAACAATAAAGACGGTACATACCAATCCAAATCCGAATAAATAGCACCGACATTGAACAAGTAGACAACAAGGATAGAAATGGCAAAGAATGCCTTTAACAAAATGCGCAAATTCCTGTGCACTAATGAAATAAACTTACAGCTCAGGTGGAGAATTGCAAAATTATATATTATTCATTCTTCTATATGGAACTGAAACATGGACATTGTTACGTCCAGACTCGAGGAAGGATGAGTCGACGGAAGGGCGCAACAACTATCTTTAATTTGAAGGAAGGAATCGTGGAGTCACCAGGACGTAACAACATTATAGATAACACAAATGAGGCGCCTCAAAGCATTTGAGATGTGGCTGTACAGGCGTATATATTCAAAATACCACGGATGGCCCGAATGACTAACGAGACTGTATTACGTCGAAGAGCCAAAAAATAATGGTAACACAGGCCTGCGAATTTAGGATGTTAAAAGTTGTTTGAGATTTATAAGTGGTTTCCTTTGTAATTTTGTGCGCTGAACACGAATCTGGCCACAGAAATTGCCCATCACGTAGGGTTTTTGAGATAAATGATGTAAAATGGTCCAGAAATGTCCGAAAAATATGCCCGCGTCACTATAAATGCCGCACCCTGTATAATGAAAAATTTAGTATATCTTTTTGAAAAAGCATATAAAGAATTATTGAAATTAAATAAATTAACTTTATCACAATATATAATTATTTCATATTTCCTTTTCTTGCGAATAATATACAAGTAACTTATAAGTAAATTTTTTTCTAGAAAATATTTTTCTTTCTTTAAAAAAAATAAAAATTTTATCACATTTTTTATATATTTGGAATGACAAACTAAATCCTTTCTAGTTTTTTTTTAATTTCATATATGAAGCGCATTGATCGCTTTTATTTGGTTTCTATGTCAACGATTCGTGCTGTGCGAATATAGTTCACGCATATTCGTTAAGCTACAGTTTCTGACAGTTCCTCTGCAGTGCTCAAGCTATTCATATTGATAGAAACACACACTTTGTTTTATTTGTACCAATTATATAATTCTTTCCTTCCACAATGGTGCAGAAAAAAATACATCATCCGGGAATGCGAACGACATATCTTTTGAAACGCGGGCAAACAATCGAAAATATCAGAGTAAGTATTTCTGAATTTAGTATATTTCTGTATTACCCAAATGCTAGAGATTCTAGAGCTCAGATTAAATTTGCTGTGCTTTATTTTACGAAAAATTGCGCTTTTTTATAGGCATCTGAAAGAACTCGGGCGTTAATAATGACAAAGGGCGCTTTTCAACGTTTTGTGGATTATACTACAGAAGAGGACAGAATAATGGTACAACAAGAAAAAGAAGCTGCAAAAATAGCAGCACTAAAAAAAGCGACCTATGAAAAAAGTAAAACGTGGGACACTAAAATAGAAGTACGTTTGATATATTTTCAAAACACAATATGTTACAATCAAATAAAAAAGTATTTAATATCATAAAAATTTGAAATATACTGGGTGTAACTAAACAAACGCATATGGACAATACTATCAGATACAGAACAACAATTCAAATCGAAAAGTCCTGAACCATTTTTTGATCTGAGCTTTCTTTTCGTTGTTATATGATGTTAAAGTTAACTAATCAGCGCCTGTCTACAACGAAAAACAGTAAAGGTACGACGGGGGTCGGAGTAGCGAGACGGCTTTCTGGTGTATAGACAGGCGCTGATTAGCTAACTTTAACATCACATAACAACGAAAAGAAAGCTCAGATCAAAAAATGGTTCAGGACTTTTCGATTTGAATTGTTGTTCTGTATCTGATAGTGTTGTCCATATGCGTTTGTTTAGTTACACCCTGTATATCTTGAGGTGAGCTCCTTTTGCGCTAGTTTCAAAGAGGTTGATGGAAAGAATAGCGAAGAATCTTCAAAGCGAAAATATAGCGTCAAACGGAGTGTACCTTAAAAATATGGAGATAAAGTATTATATATTTTTCGAATCCTTGCTATATTTATTATATATATAACATTGCTCAAACAAAAATGATTTGTTAACAGAATATTAAGGCAAAACAAAGAGAAGAGTTATTGTTAAAAAGACAAAAGGCTGAGGAAGAAAGGAAGATGTTCGTAAAGGAAATGGCGGAAAAAAAAGCGACAGAGCGTGCAGAAGTGGTAAAGCAAGCAAGAAAATTGCTTCAGCAAAAAAAGCCTTTGTGCCGGCGGATTAATCGCGCTCTCTTCGCCTCCGAGGTACTTTCTCGCGAAACAAATATTCACATAATTCCTAAGCATGTAATTTCTCACCATTAATCAAACTCAAAATTCTGCTCTATCCATGATCTCATCAGTGTCTCAGAGAACTGGAGGCCCAAGTAGCGTTGCAGAAAACTATTAGGACGATGGATAAAGAACAAGATATAGAATATACTAATTCGATTAAGACGAACGTCGCGAAATATGAGGAGCAAAAGAGGCAGGAAGAAAAGGAGCGAACGAGAAAAACAGAGAATTACAATATGGAATTGAAAAAACAGTAAAAATTGATATTTAATTGATGATTAATAATATGATATTAATATAAAAATGTATAAGAATATGATTCATATGCGTCACGTATTATTACATCAATTATAAATCAGGATTGAAGAAAACGAACGAGGCAATAAATTAAAAGCAATGGAAGAACTGGAAGCTGAAAAACAGACTCAAAGAGATATAATCCAAAATATGCAACTCATACAAGAGAAAGAAATGCAAGACGTATATATTGATATATTGCTATAAACACATTTTATCCAAAAAAGATCTAATATATATAATTGTATATGTTGTTTATAGATATTAAACAAAAAGAAAAGACTCCAGCAATTTTTCAAGGAAGCGATAGAGGAAAAGAAACGATTTGAATTAGAATTGAAGCGCAACGAAGAATTTGAGGATCGAGCGTTGGAGGTCTACCAAAAAGCTAAAGATCAAATACAGAAAATCCATAAATCAGTAATGCTGACAGAAAGAAAAGAGAAAACGCGTAAAGCACAAATTATAGGTCAGACAATATTTTCTAAAACATAAATTTTGTGCTTCTTATGTGTGTATGTGTATTGTTGTGCCCCTATCCGCTAAGGAAGGGGTTTGTACGTCCAAAGGATTAGGATCCACACTCTAAGTAAAACACTCCCGGAGTAAAACATTTTCATAAAAAATGAATATATTTATATGAATATATTTATCGTCAGTTTGTACACTTGTAACGGTTCGCTGTTACAACGATCGGGTGCAATACGTACGATAACTTAAATAATAATTAATTAAATTGGGAGGAGTATGGTAATCCTGACTGGAGCACGTACCGTGCTTCTTTAGTCCATTTTGTCAGCTGTTTACTCAGCTTCCAAAAACTTGGCCATGGTCCTCCTTTTATTTGTCATGTCTTTTGTTTTGTATTTTAATATTCTTTTGTTAGTTACTTAATTTCTCAATCTGATTGTCCTGGTGCTACTTTCCACATTTTAATATTTTATGTTCTACTGTTGTGATTTTCTTAATTTTTTCTTTTCTATTCTTTTCTGCTCTACCTTCTATTGTTTAATATCAAGAAATTGGTCGGATTACGATAGTATAATGCAAAATTAAAATAAATTAAATCCATGATAAGTGACTAATAATTGATTTAAATACTGATTAATAATTGATTAATAATTAATAATTAATAATTGTTCATTAATAATTCTTCTTCAGCGGAAAAACATGAGCCAATCGAAAAAATTCGCGAGATTAAAGAACAAGAAATCTTGAAAAAAGCTATAGAAGAGAAAGACACGGCCGAAGCAGAAAAGCAGAAAGCGCACAAAGAACGAGAAGAAACAATGCGTGCTCTTATGGAAGAATATAAGCTTCGTGATGCGGCTGTAAGAACAAAGCAAAAACAAGAGGAGAAAGATCTAAAAATTTGGGAGATGATGCAAAGGTTTAAGAAAAACGAATATGATGAGCAAATGAATTTGGAAGAACGAAAGCGACAATGGCAACAAAAATTAGACTATGGAATTGAGTTGCAGAAAATTGTTGTAAGAAAATCAATTTGATGATAATAATAATAATTATAATTAAGATATTTCTTTTTAACACACGTAATTAACATAAATAAAAAATTTTAAATATTATATTTTGCATGCCATATGCTAAATTAAATTTCCAAGTATAATTATTTTTTTCTTTTTATATATATTAGATTTTATTATTAAAATATTTTCTCTCAATATGTGTTACTTTGCATTTATATTATAAAATACTTTTCTATTTTTATATTTAAAATGAATTCTTACAGTATTTTCTTTGCAAAATGTATTAATAAAAAAAGCAATTATATAATGTCTGACATTAATAGGAGGAAAAACAAATCGAGAAAAAGCGCGAAGAAGTTCTTGAAGTCGCAGCAACGAACATGAAACCTGTAATTGAGAAGGCTAATCAAAAAATTTTAGCTTATGGAAATAAAGTTTTAAAAGAATCGAAGGGTGTGAGACCACTTTATCCAATCATTAAAGCTATTGAAGTAAGTTTGAACACTTAGAACATAGGAATTCCAAATCTAATTATAAATAATTTTAAAAATTTTTTCTGTGATTTATAAGGAATGTAAGAAGGAAATGGGATTAAATATCACCAAAAAATCGGAGAAACTGTCAAAGCGGATCGGCCGAAAAGAAAACATGGAATCCGTCACTGTACTTGCATGAAATCTATACTAGTCAATCAAATATATTGTTTGCAATAATCACTGTTCATAATAAACAGCGATAATTTGTATTTTATGTTTCGGCAGTTATCACATGATTCATATGCATCATCTGATCATTGTCATTTATTTAGAATAAATATTTCCGCGTTGCACCATTAAGCCTCCGTATTTTTCAATTGCAGAGGGACTTACATAAAAATTGATACAAACACAAAGTTTTTAGATATATCGCGAATAATTTATCAATTCGTGATAGTATTTTATTATAAAGAAGTTGTCTAGAACAGATTTTTTGAAAATATGTTTTGTATCACGTGTAAGTTTAATTAATAAAATATCTAAATTAATATGAAGTATAATTAAAGTTATAATATGTAATAAGGTGTACAGAGTGTCTCATATAGGTAGAATACAGACCGGTACTACCGTATTTCTTGTCAAAAAATAAGTATTTTTTTTGTCTTTTGGTAAAATTTTCGAAAATTGTTTTTGGGACGTCTCATTTTTTAATATGTCAGTGCATTTACTATTTCTTGATTCTTCGTGTAAATGATATTCTATCGGTTTATACACTAACTATGGAATACCCTGCTGACTCCTTAAAATAATTGATGTATCTTTAGACTAATTAATAAGAAATTAATTTGTTAGTAAAATAAACATTTACACGTTTTGTTTGTTATATAGTTTTATTATAATTAATTTTTCGTAGCATTGACATACACCCTATAAATTTTATTATTGTATAATTGATCAAGCAGAATTCGAGTTATAAATATTATTCTTGTTAAAGCTTATGTATTAATCACTCTGTATATATATCGATTAAGGATCGACAATATGATATTAAAATATCGATTAAGAATCGATATTTTAATGTCATATTGTCAATATAAAACTCATCATCTTATTAAAATGTGTGTGGCAGGTTAAATTTTTTTATAGAATTTAATATTTTATGAAGATTTTAATATACATTTATTTTAATTTGAGATGAGATTCAAATAAGAGAAAAATATTTTGAAGTTATCTTGAAAAGAAGAAAAATATTATTTATATCAAATATATTTATAAATACACTTATTTCATCAACAATATAAAAAGCTATTGACAATGTCGGAAAAAGATCAAGAGCCGAAAGAAAAAAAGACACAACCTATCCCACCAATGATGAATTTTCTGCTAGGTGGAATTTCAGGGTAATATTGTTAAATTAATAAAAAATATTAATAAAAAAACATATTTTATTAAATATTTGCTCTTATCTCAGAATGGCGGGAACTTGTGTGGTTCATCCAATGGACGTGATCAAGAATAGGATGCAAGTGCACAAGGGGAAAGCATCGGTTTTGGACGTAATTAGCACAACATACACCAAAGAAGGCATCATTTCATTTTACAACGGTTTGACAGCCGGTCTCGTGAGACAAGCCACATACACAACTGTGCGACTCGGAATTTACAATCAGTTGCAAGATTTTTGGAGGTAAACCAAAATTTCATTGCAATCAAATAAAAAAAAAAAAAAAAATGTTAGGAAAGGTATATAATAAAATTTAAATAACGCGAAAGTCCAAAAGAGAAACATCTGAAAGGAATCCCGTACTGACATCTTTACGATGACTTATTACCTGCTATGTCAACTACATAATTAAAATAAATAGTATGATTAAAGTCAATCTTTTGGCTGCAATTTTGAAAAAGAAACTGATTGATGCGCTTTTAGACAAACATACGGTCGTCCCAACTTCATTACTTTGATCTCTATGGCTGGGACCGCTGGTGCCGTAGGAGCTTTTGTTGGAACACCAGCCGATGTTGCTCTTGTAAGAATGACAACAGATGGTAGATTGCCAGTAGGTAATGATAACTTTTTAAACAAACTAATTTTTATCGATATTAGAGAAAACATTCCTTTTCCAAGAGAATTATTTAATTTTTTAATGCTCAGATTAAATCTAATGTTTTTTTAATGTTTAGATCAACGAAGAAATTACAAGAATGTGATCGACGCGTTCATCAGAATAGCTAGAGAGGAAGGAGTGTTCACTCTCTGGAGAGGAAGCATGGCTACGATAGGAAGGGCTGTTGTCGTTAACATTTCGCAACTGGCAACTTATAGCCAAGTGAAGCATATGATAGCCTCACGAAGTATGTTTAATCAATTTTTAATATCTTGTAATTCGTATTTTTTTTAATGCTTTGATTTCTTGAATATATAAATCAAATATATATTTTAATCTAAGCTTCTAAAAAGTGTTATAAAAATCTCAGAAATGTTCTTAGACATTTTTTACGCATTATTTACATCTTTCTATAATTCGCGGAAAATAATTCGCCAATGACTTTTATAGCAAATGTTAAGGAAGGCATAGGTTTGCATTTTGGTGCATCGATGGTATCAGGATTTCTCACGGCTTTCAATTCCATGCCTTTTGATGTCACGAAGACCAGGTCATCACATTTAGTTTAATGCTTTACATTTTTTGTATAAAACATTGGTTCTCTTAAAAAAAAAAATTTATTAGATTATCATTATTTCATATCCGCAGGATACAAAACATGAAGAGCATTGAGAAACCTCCAGGCATGATCGTAGTTATGATGTCAATAGCAAAAAACGAGGGGATAGGGTCTCTCTGGAAAGGTTTCTGGCCGACTTTCTGCAGAATAGGTCCGCATACGGTATTAACTCTTGTTATCAACGAGCAATTGATGTATTTGTATAGAACATATTTCCAGTAATAATCAAAAATTGTGCAGATTAAAATTTGCGTATTTTTTATATCATATATATCGCAATTCGTAAATGTATCGTGTACATAAAATTTCAAACTAAATTTTATACATTTTAAAATAATATTATAATTAATTCAATTAAATAATTGTAAATTGCTATCTGTTGTTCTATTTTAATCATATTTTGTAGCACGCAATTTTATAAAATAATTGACAGAGCCACAGGTAAACTTTATTATTGCACCGGGAAAAATGTGAAATACATTTGATGAAGTTGATCGGCGCACACCATGGTAATTATAGTATTAGGTGCTGCTCTGGAATAAGATGGGACAAAACCATTCCATAACGATATTAAGCCTTCCGTCTTAACAATATTAACGATCATAGCTATGATATTAGGTGGTTTCGTAGACTGTCTCCAGTTTTGAATCCTATAAAAACATGTATTTAAAGATCTAAATCACATATATTTTGCATTAGAATCTTATCATTTTACCTAGTTTTAGCAACGTCCATCGGAATCGAGGCGAAGCATGTAATTATACTGGACATCAAGGCAGCGGCAAATTGCAATGGTATACCGTTTTGGATGTATCCTATCGTATTAAAAATATTTATTAGCAGATCATTATTAAATCTCTAATTAAAATCATTTTTTCTAATAGAAAAAAAATAGTCGAAAAAAAACATGTTTTTTTTCTTTTGCGGCAAATTACATCAAACTCGATATGATTCGGATAATTTTTAATTAAATGCATAACAAAAATTTTTATTATGTATTTAATTGAAAATTATCCGAATTATGTCGTGTTTGATATCATTTTAACCGCAAAAATCTCATTAATCCATTAAAATTGTTTTCAAAAAGATAAAATAAAAAATAAAAAAATTGGTTTTTAATTTATAAGATGCTTACATTCATGAAATAGCCAATTGGAATGCGAGCTACATTTAAAATAATAATAGTTAATTCAAATCTATCATTTAAAAAGTTAAAAATAATGAAAAATCAATTTGCAGTAATCAAAGAATATAAAGATATTAAATATCTGAAAAAAAAAACAAAATTTTGAAAAAGGACGAGGTTTTTTTTCATAAAAAGACTGTTTTTTATGGAAAAAAACACATTTTATTTTTTTCTATTTATAGAAAATAGGTATAATATCTCTAGATATAATATTGCGAATTTTAATAACCTGTGTTTTGCAGCATCACCTTCGCTCTAGTATATGTACCTAATTGTGCTCCATTGACAATCGCTGCTCTGCCCATAGTCGGCACCGCTCCTCTCCATAATCCAGTAAATCCCTCGGTTTTCCATATGTCGGAGATGCCATTGACGACGTTCTTATAATTCTTTCGTTTTTCTAAATATTGATTTCCATATTATAAATGTATAATGCATTTGAAACGCTTTATTATCTCAAATCATATCGAGAAAGAAATATGTAAGTGAAAAGTAAAGTCAAGATAAAACCTGTTGGCAAATTCATGTCAGCTACCATGCGTATCAATATCAAATCCGTGGGGGAACCGATAAAAGAACCCATTATGCCGGCTATCATCCCGAGACTAATCATCGTTACATAATTTAAATAGCCAAAATGTTGTCTGAAAGAAAAGAATTTAGCCGACATTTAAAACGTAGACAATGAACGTCAAATCACAATCAATTTATACATGGATATATCCAGTGTGATTTAGCTCTACGAGTTACGATCAATTTTTCAGGATATGCAATAATTGCCATTACTCCCCGATATCCAACAACGTGCTGTAAATTCCGAGTCTGCTGGTGGTATAAGTCAATTGACGAAGAAGGCCCGCGCTCAGTCCCATATAAAAACCACGAACTCCGTTCGTGCCAAACGTTTGTAAAGCTGTATCGCGTAAAGTATTACGCGACACTTGCATGCGTATTCTAAGAACATCCATAGGATGCGTTGCGATCTGAGCTGCCACTCTGTCATTAGCAAAATGAAATTGCCATCAATTACCAAAACATGTACTCTAAGCTTCGAGAAAAATAATGTCTTTTTTATTATTGTAATGGGAAATATGATATATAAATTTCTTTACCCCGATATGCCACCTATTACAAAGTTGGCAAATGTCGGCACTTTGGCGTCTTGGATCGACACTGACATTGATGCACTTTCTTTTTCTCATGCTAGCTTATAATCTCTTGTGTGTAACATCGTCTTTAACAAAATTTTTGAAAATGTCATAATGTTACTATATAATTTTTAACTTGCTATTTCATTTTTATATCTCTCTTGAATATAGCATTATATCGATAATTCCACTATTAAAAAAGGCAGAAAGGCATGTGTTAAATCGATATATTTTATATATAGACGTACAAAATATATCAAATAAAAAAAAATAAAAAAATATAATAAAAATATATAAAATATATAAAATATATTTCTATGTCTTTAATTTTATACAAAACATACACTAATATCAATACTGCTTTGAAGCACAGACCACCAAAACCGCAAAAGAAACGTTACTTGTTCCGCTCTTTTAAATCGACCAAGTTCTTTCAGACAACGACAATAGATTGGGTAGAAGCCGGTCTGCAGGTGTGTCGTCAAGGATATAACATGTTGAATCTACTAATACATCGGAAGAATCTCAACTATCTTCATTTGGATTACAATTTTAACTTGAAACCTGTCAAAACGCTTACAACAAAAGAGAGGAAGAAATCGCGCTTTGGTAACGCCTTCCATTTGTGTCGCGAAATTCTTCGCCTAACTAAACTCATTATCGATTCTCACGTTCAGTACCGGCTGAACAACGTGGATGCCTTTCAACTCGCCGATGGGCTGCAATATATTTTCGCACACGTTGATCAATTGACCGGCATGTATCGATATAAGTACAAATTGATGCGACAGATCAGGATGTGTAAAGACTTGAAGCACCTAATTTATTATCGTTTTAACACCGGACCAGTTGGTAAAGGACCTGGCTGTGGCTTTTGGGCACCCGGCTGGCGCGTTTGGTTATTCTTTATGAGAGGCATCACTCCGTTATTGGAAAGATGGCTGGGTAACTTATTGTCAAAACAATTCGAGGGCCGTCATTCGAAGGGCGTAGCGAAGACTGTAACGAAGCAGCGAGTTGAATCACACTTTGATCTCGAATTACGGGCGTCTGTTATGCATGATATAGTTGATATGATGCCTGAGGGAATAAAGCAGAACAAGGCGCGGACAATTCTTCAGCATTTGAGCGAAGCTTGGCGCTGTTGGAAAGCGAATATTCCGTGGAAAGTGCCGGGTTTGCCGATTCCGATCGAAAACATGATACTGCGTTATGTCAAGATGAAGGCCGACTGGTGGACGAATACAGCTCATTACAATCGAGAGAGAATTCGACGTGGAGCTACGGTGGACAAAACCGTGTGTAAAAAGAACCTTGGTCGTCTAACGCGTCTCTATTTGAAAGCCGAGCAGGAACGACAACACAATTACTTGAAGGATGGTCCATATATATCGCCGGAGGAAGCTGTAGCCATATTTACAACTTCAGTTCATTGGCTAGAATCTCGAAGATTCGCGCCAATACCCTTTCCGCCATTATCTTACAAACATGATACAAAATTGTTGATATTAGCCCTGGAACGCTTGAAGGAGGCTTATAGCGTTAAATCTAGGCTGAATCAAAGTCAACGAGAAGAACTGGGCTTAATAGAACAAGCATACGATAATCCACACGAGGCATTGTCCAGAATCAAGCGACATTTGCTAACACAGAGAGCTTTTAAAGAAGTTGGCATCGAATTTATGGATCTTTACAGTCACTTGATTCCCGTGTATGACGTGAAGCCATTGGAGAAAATTAAGGATGCCTACCTAGGTCAGTATTTGTGGTACGAGGCAGACAAAAGGCGACTGTTTCCACCGTGGGTGAAACCAGCTGACACGGAATCACCGCTGCTCCTTGTTTACAAGTGGTGTCAAGGTATCAATAACCTCCAGGATGTTTGGGATGTTAGCGAGGGCGTGATGTGCTGCTAGAATCGAAATTTGAGAAGCTGTACGAAAAGATCGGTCTCACGTTACTCAACAGGCTGTTACGTTTAATAGTAGATCATAACATTGCCGATTATATGACGGCAAAGAATAATGTTGTCATCAATTATAAAGACATGAATCACACTAATAGCTATGGCATTATTCGAGGATTGCAATTCGCATCTTTTATCGCCCAATATTACGGACTAGTGTTGGACCTGCTGGTGTTGAATCTTCAGCGAGCCAGTGAAATGGTCGGTCCGTCGCAAATGCCAAACGACTTCCTTACGTTTCAAGATGTTGCCTCTGAGACAGCGCATCCTATTCGATTATACTACCGTTATGTCGATAGGATACATCTATTTCTGCGCTTTTCCGCTGATGAGGCGAGAGACTTCATTCAGCGTTATCTCACTGAACATCCCGATCCAAATAACGAAAATATTGTTGGCTACAATAATAAAAAGTGTTGGCCACGAGACGCCCGTATGAGATTAATGAAGCACGATGTGAACCTGAGTCGCGCCATATTCTGGGATATCAAGAACCGACTTCCACGTTCTACCACCACTATCCAGTGGGAGAACAATTTTGTTAGTGTTTATAGTAAGGATAATCCCAATTTGCTCTTTAATATGAGCGGTTTCGAGTGCAGAATTTTGCCCAAATGCAGAACGACTCATGAGGAGTTTACGCACCGAGACGGCGTTTGGAATCTTCAGAACGAGATCACGAAGGAAAGAACCGCGCAATGTTTCTTGCGTGTCGACGACGAGAGCTTGCAGCGTTTTCACAATCATGTCAGGCAGATTTTAATGGCTTCAGGCTCGACCACATTCACGAAAATCGTGAACAAATGGAACACCGCTTTGATTGGTCTGATGACTTATTTTAGAGAAGCCGTGGTGAATACGCAAGAGTTGTTGGATCTTTTGGTCAAATGTGAGAACAAGATTCAGACGCGTATCAAGATTGGATTAAACTCCAAAATGCCGTCGCGTTTCCCACCCGTCGTCTTTTATACTCTTAAGGAATTGGGTGGTCTGGGAATGCTGTCGATGGATCATGTGTTGATACTTCAGTCGGACTTGAGGTGGTCGAAACAAACTGATGTAGGCATTACTCACTTTCGTTCAGGTATGAGTCACGACGAGGATCAATTGATTCCTAACTTATATCGCTACATACAGCCCTGGGAATCAGAATTTATCGATTCTCAACGTGTTTGGGCAGAATATGCCCTGAAACGACAAGAGGCCAATGCTCAGAATCGCAGGCTTATTTTGGAAGATCTTGAGGACAGCTGGGATCGTGGTATCCCTAGGATAAATACATTATTCCAGAAAGATCGGCACACACTGGCCTATGACAAGGGTTGGCGTATTCGTACAGAATTCAAACAATATCAGGTGCTGAAGCAAAATCCGTTTTGGTGGACTCATCAGCGTCACGACGGAAAATTATGGAACCTAAATAACTATCGAACTGATATGATTCAGGCGCTAGGCGGCGTCGAAGGCATCCTTGAGCACACTCTTTTCAAAGGCGCCTACTTCCCGACATGGGAGGACCTCTTCTGGGAAAAGGCTTTCGGCTTTGAGGAGTCCACGAAATACAAGAAATTGACAAATGCGCAACGTTCTGGTCTCAATCAAATTCCCAACCGATTTACACTGTGGTGGTCGCTTACTATTAATCGCGCAAACGTTTACGTTGGTTTTCAAGTACAACTCGATCTGACAGGAATATTTATGCACGGTAAAATACCGACTCTAAAAATATCCTTAATCCAAATATTTCGCGTTCATTTGTGGCAAAAGGTGCACGAATCTATCGTGATGGATCTTTGCCAGGTGTTTGATCAAGAATTAGACGCATTGGAAATTGAGACCGTACAGAAGGCAACAATACATCCGCGAAAGTCCTACAAGATGAACTCCTCATGTGCTGACATCCTTTTGTTTTCCGCTTATAAATGGACCGTATCCCGACCATCACTCCTTGCTGATTCGAAAGATGTGATGGACAACACCACTACGCAAAAATATTGGATCGATGTTCAACTGAGATGGGGCGATTATGACTCACATGACATCGAACGATACGCTCGTGCTAAATTCTTGGACTATACGACAGATAACATGTCGATATACCCATCGCCCACCGGTCTTCTGATAGCTATCGACCTGGCATATAATTTGCACAGTGCATATGGTAATTGGTTTCCTGGCTGCAAGCCACTCATACAGCAAGCTATGCCAAAAATTATGAAAGCGAATCCTGCTTTATACGTATTACGCGAACGCATACGCAAAGCGTTGCAACTATACTCGTCTGAACCCACTGAACCTTATCTTTTTTCGCAAAATTACGGTGAGCTCTTCTCCAATTAAATTATATGGTTTGTTGATGACACAAACGTATATCGCGTGACGATTCACAAAACCTTTGAGGGCAACTTGACGACAAAGCCAATCAATGGCGCAATTTTCATCTTCAATCCGCGCACGGGACAATTGTTTCTGAAAATTATTCATACCTCCGTCTGGGCGGGCCAGAAGCGTCTCGGTCAATTAGCCAAGTGGAAGACCGCCGAGGAAGTCGCTGCGCTGATTCGCTCTCTACCAGTGGAGGAACAGCCAAAGCAGATTATCGTTACCAGAAAAAGAATGTTAGATCCGCTAGAAGTGCACTTGTTGGACTTTCCCAATATAGTCATTAAAGGATCTGAATTGCAGTTACCGTTCCAGGCATGTCTCAAGGTGGAGAAGTTCGGCGATATGATCTTGAAGGCAACCGAGCCGCAAATGGTACTATTCAATCTTTACGATGACTGCTTGAAGACCATCTCGTCTTACATTCTCACGATTGATTCTGATTTTACGGGCTCTACACGTCAACACCGAAAGAACGAAAGTTGTATTAAAACCCGATAAAACCACCATTACCAAATCACATCACATATGGCCATCGCTGACGGACGAGTGGATCAAGATGAAAGTGCAGCTGAAGAATCTGATCTTGGCGGATTACGGTAAGAAGAATAATGTCAATGTTGCGTCACTCACGCAATCCGAAATTAGAAAAATGCGAAATTTTTTAGATTAGGAAGTGTGCAAAAACTTAAGTCAATTGACTGATACATAGGATATCTCGTGCATACTAATTTAAAAAAGATTATTGTAATTTAGAAAAAATGAATATAAAGTTTTATACTTGAATGGCTTTGATATAATAGTGGATTTTTT